ATATATATATATATATATATATATATATATATATATATATATATATGTATATATATATTACAATTATATATAAGACCACAGTTATAAAACAAAAACTAGTTAGCCGGAACAGTATTATTCAAAGATGATAGTTAATTTTAATTTTGAAGTTCTTAATATTTTTGCCATTAACGACGTCAGACAACTTGTTATTCCAAATATTAACAACCCTTAGTGAGAAAAAGTATTTACGGACATCGAGTTTACACTTTAGTTTGCGTAATTTGAATTTGTGACCACAAATGTAAATATAGTTGTTTATTAAATAGAAACTTGATTTATTTAGACAAACTAAGTTGTTCAGAATTTTGTGACATGTAATCATGTCTTGCTTAAGGCGATGAATTTCTAGTAGTTCTAAACCAAGAATCCTAAGTCTATTAAAATATGAAAGTTAATTAGGTCAGCAATTCTCTTGGTTTTTATACTGTTTTATACACTCTTTATACTGCTTTGTTCATTTTAGTACGGTTTGGCAGCCGAACCGAAGAGCTATATTCTAAGTTTGGTCTTATGTAGGTTGTGTAGGCTTTTACAATAACACATGGATCACGATTTATTAAAACACTTAAGGATTTAATATCCTCGAATGTTTAATGCGCGGATGGTATTTGAAATATTATTATTGTAATTTAAGTAAGAATCCATGGTTACATCGAGATCTTTTGGGTTTGTAGACCAGATTAAATTATAATCTCCTAATTGATAGTTATAATTTATATCTTTACAAAATGAAGTAAGTGCTTTGTATGAGTAAAAAACATGTTATTGGCTACTTTTAATTGCCATTTTTTGACCAGAGATAAACTTTATAAATGGCAACAGCAATATTGTGACTATAATCGGCACTCTTAAATGAACTATATAACTTGATATCGTCAGGAGAGTTTGCTCCATGTCTGGAAGTTAATCTCAGACACCAAAAAATGCTGGATCTGTCACTGGTTTTAAGTACAGATTTTTCTATATATAGATTTGTTGAAGAAACTGTAATCAAAATTTTGTCTTATTTTTTAAGTAAAATTGTTACTAAATCGTCAATACTTATCTAAAAAACTATATTTTAGTGTCAGGTGGTATAAAAGGGCTTAAAAAAAATAAAAGGGTGTATAAAAGGGTGTATAAAAGTTATTTTTATATTTACAATGTTCACTAGTCAACGATCGCTTTCAAAGAGTTAGAGGGACACTAAACCACCACCTTTACCAAATATTACCAATAAATGCAAATTTCACCAAAAAAGAGTGTTAAGTTAGTAATTTTTATATACAAAAAAGTGTTATTATTTTATATTAAAAAATAAAAAAATAAAAAAATGGGAAGAAAAAATAAGAAATAAAAAAGTTCGAAATAAAAGTCAGATTCGAGAACAGAACTAAATAAGCATTTTGAAACGAATGAAATTAAAAAAAAAATTTTTAATCTTACGATTTCCTTCATGCACATAGTTGATTATCGCACATAGTTGATTATCGCACATAGTTGATTATCACACATAGTTGATTATCGCATTCTTAGTCGAAAAATAAAACGTCTGCTTCATTGTTGTAAAACATCTTGTCTTTTTCTTTGGACAAAAATCATAGTCAAACAAACCTGCCTTAATTTGTGTTTGTGAAACTTTTTTCAATGATAAAATCCCGAACTCCATGGTCTATTCAAAAATTTGTTCCATTTATCGTAAGGATAAAGCATAAACAGGATAAACCTGCAAAGCAGCATTATATAACTCGTTATAATTCAGTATAGTTACCAACTTTGAACATTTTGTTTTACAAAATAATTTAATTAGTTCAATCCTGCTATAATCCCGAAAATCCCGGGATTTTTGGGACCCAAAAACATCCGGGATCCGGGGATCTCGGGATCCGGGATCCCGGATCCCGGGATTGCAATCCCTAATTAAAAGTTATCTTACCAATAGAAAGCAAAATGTGTGTAATATACAACCTGGAGATTTAAATGTTTTATATGGAGTTCATCAAGGATCTATCCTTGGTCCACTCCTGTTTTTAATTTATATGAACGATTTTTGCAATGCATCTTTAAAACTGAATTCAGTCATGTTTGCTGATGATACAAATCTATGTCTTACTAACAAACATATTAAGAATATGCAGACATGAATGCTGAATTAAGTAAAGTAAATAATTCGTTTAGGGCTTGCTTAACTCAGAAAAAATAAATTACATATTATTCCATAAAAAGACAAAAAAAATCTTCCTCTTAGGTTGCCTAACCTTATCTTAAATGATAAATTAATTAAAGAAATTTTTATGGATTCAACAATAATCTCCTGAAAACCTTAAGAAGAAGTTTGATATAAATAGAAATGAAAACTATTATCTAAAAGCAAATAAGTAACACATATAAACAGCCTAAAAAAGTTTAATAAATTTAGTGAATATAGCATTTCATATCGAGGTCCAAATAAATGGAATATTTATCAAAAAGGATTGAAATTTTTAAAATTTGAGATTCATTTGGGCTTGAGTAACTCTAGAGTTATTTGATTCTATTTTTTCAGATTTTTTATCATTATTCGATTTATTGATCAGCGCTGCAGTTTTATGCCCATTAGGGTTAATAAAATAATATCTATATTATATTTAAATGTAAATTTCAATGAAAAGATTGTGATGACGATCTTTATTTTCATTGGGCCGCTGTTAGTTTAATTATTTATTTTATAAAGATCAGTTTATAAGTTTATCAGATTGTAAAGAAAAGGATATATTTTAAATTGTATATACAAACGTTGGTACTTGTTGACAAGATTTTACTATCTTTTTTTGTTCTACTGACATTTTCTTTCTTGTATATATTTATGTTGATTTAATGACTTTTTCTTTCTTGTATATATTTATGTTGATTATTTTTTCAAAACAGGAAACCCTGTGTTATTTGTTACTTTTTGAGGAGTTTCACACTCCGTTAGTCCCAGTCGTTTTCTTGTTGACTGGGTGGTAGTTTTTGGTTATGATTCTGATATTTTTAACTGAAACTTTTCTCATTAATATTTTCTATTAAAATATCTATATCCACATTAATATCAACACTGTTGACTATTGACATCAATGTCTACACTTGCGCTTTCGATGTGACTGTTGTTCTTCAGTACAGTTGGTTGCTTTGGATTAGGATTTGAAGGTGAAATGTTTGGGTTTGGTAAATTTGGAGAGTTGGTTTCAGGTAAACCTTTATGTTTATAACAAAAAGTTAGTCTATCCATGTTTTGGTATCGAGGTGACGGATTTTGGCTTGGGTTATTCTAGTTTTTAATAATTATAATAACATTAGCTTCACCATGAACTTTACATTTTTGAATGTAAAAATAATTTAATTCTCCTCTTCCTGCAGCTAGGTGTTTATCTAGTAGGATAATTGCACTCTGACATCCATTTCTAAGTGTACCGATGGGTATATTTTGCACAAGAACATGAACATTTTGTACAGGCTTTTGTTGAAAACGTAAAAAGAAACTTTTTATTTCTATTTCTGCATCCAGAAACTATGCCACTGATGAGTTGTTAATGACTGCAAACTCGAAAGGTTTTTTTATTGTAATGTCTAGTAACTCCCCAAACATTTCCAAGCAAGGTTTGCCTTTTCAGATAAAGCAGGAAGAAAATTGTTAACACTAAAGTTCAAATCACCGCATCTGCATACAAACACATTTGGATTGTTGATTGGTGACTTAGAATCAAAAATTCCAAGCTGGGTCATAACTTGATTGTTAGAATTTCCAGAAATAAAAAAGGGCGCCTGCATTTTCACAAACTTTGCAATCGTACATTTTTTGTTGATGCCTACCTTATCACACAAGGACTATAAAGTTTCAGGATGTATTTTTTTTCCTTCAACGCCTATAAAACTACTTTATTTCTTTTAAATCACAAATAACAAACTAAGTAATCAATGATTAACTTTGTCATACTAAAAATTTTATATAAAAACTGATTTTGTGATCTGGTGATGCAATACCACCTTATATTATTTTATCATACTGACATTTCGTCAGTATAATATGTTTGTAGATATGTTTGAGTTTATAAAAACTTGTAATATTTATAATATGTTTGAGTATATAATTGTAATGTGTTTGTATATAGTTTTATAATAATTTATAATAATTATTTTGTAATATGTTTGAGTATATAAAAAAATATAAATGAACTATGTCTCTTTTGAGACATAGTTCATGTTTATTTTCTTCTTCGCCGGTTGTGTTTTTCAATTAAACCTACGCGGTTGAATGATAAGATTGCATTGCTAAGCTAATTTTTAAATAATAATAAATAAATAGTTAATTAAAAATTTTGGTAGCAGTTTGAACAAATTCTATTTTTGCACAACTTGTATTGTTGCACAATTACGAAGATAATATAGACAATATTTACATAAATTAGAGAAAATAACTAAAGAATTTAATTAAGTTTTTGAATTAAAAATAATGTGGACTGAGTAAATTTGAGAGACTTTCAATAATTTTTTAAATAAATATATTTATTTAATATAATTATTTTAATTAAATAAATATATTTATTTAAGGTTTGATGTCATAAAAAACATATTGAATATGTCTGCCCCATGTACCCGTCGAACGAAAGGGCCGGTACCTGAGTACCCGTTAAAAGAAAAAAAAGAAATTACTTTTTATGAAAGCTGTTCATGTAAACAGCCAATAAAAACTTTTCATTCATTGATGTCTTATATTTAAAGTTGTTCTTTATCATTTATATCTAAATTTTGTTTTACTTTAAGTGTAAAAGCAACACAAGTCCCAATTATAGTTTAAAAAAACTAGCATGTTTGCTGTTTAGGGTGCAAAAAATGCCGTTGATCACATGCAGCAAATGTGAAAACTGTTACTTTAAGATTCTCATTATTATGGTTGAAAGATCGAGAACAATTAAAAATTGAAAGATCGAGAACAAGTAAAAATTGAAGCTTTCTGAAATAAAAGACAACGTTATGGAAAATATTTCGCATCTTAATAGTTTGATGAAATAGTCATCATTTTTCACTTGTGAAAAACACTGGCCACACTGGGCTGTGCAAAACACTTGGCTTTCTAAATCAAACATACTTAAAGGGTTTATGGCCATTTTCCACTCTATATACATTCTAGTTCTAATTTTTTAATGCAATGCAAGTACCTGTCTCAGAAGGTGAATGAACTTTAAGTAAACAATTTTTTTAATTAAAAAAAAAATTAATTTCAATTTAAAATAATTAAATTAAAAAAATATTTATAGGGCCATTATAGAAGAAGAGCGTCTATCGGGCATGCACGTTGAAAATGAACATGATACGATTCTATTGTAAGATGATATAATATTAATCGTGATTTTTTCTAGTAAAATCAGTGAATGTTTTGCATAATTGTCATTAATACAGATGCAGCCCTTGAAAATATGGATGTAAATTAACAGTATTAAAAATAAAAAAAACTTTTATTGAATTTTTTAATTGCGCATTCTTTTAATTTAAAAATATACATTCTTATCTAATTGCCTAATTATCTAATCGTCGTCTAATTGTCTAATTATCTGATCGTCTAATTGCTGCTATGCACCGGGCGTCACGAAAGCTCTCGGCGGCCCTGGCCATGAATGTCTTGCAAATTCGAAGGAATTTGATTTGAAAACTATTTAGAAAAAAAAATTCAAGCCAGCAAATTTTGAAACTTGTGTTTTGTAGTCTTATAAACTCCCAGCAGTTAAGCAAAGAAAAAATATTCCATCACAAAAGAGCAAAGAATTTATTGAAAACAAAAAAAAAAATTTATTCAAGATTCAACTAAAAATAAGGGTTTCTATTGTCACGAAGTGTGTATAGAATGTGTATAGTGTGTGTAGACTGTTTATAGAATGATATTTCTATGATAAGGTATTTTAAGTATCCGATAGGTTTTTTTTTCTGTTAGTGTTATTGAAGCCAAGAATAAGGAAAACAAAACTGCCCGAGTTGGTCATGCTTGTCTAACCTCCTTAGCAGAAAACACTAGGGCTACAGCATCTGATATGCATATTTACAACATCTGATATCCATATGTATATATATATATATATATATATATATATATATATATATATATATATATATATATATATATATATATATATATATATATATATATATATGTATATATATATATATATATATATATATATATATAGCAAAAAAAAAAAAAAAAAAAAAAAGGTAAATTAAAATCAAAGCGGAATGGTTTAAAAAACCAAAATGGCAGTTCTTCTGATAACTGTTTAAAATAAAGGTAAAATAAAAAGAATGTTAAGAGTTTTTTTTTTATGCCATGTTTATAATTATGATTAACTTAATTATTATTTTTATTGTTAACCTTATAATTTTGTTTATAATAAAAATTCGAAGATGTTTTTTTTAAAGAAATAATTTATTACATTTTAAGAAGTTGTTAACTATACTAGGGAGTTAAAAATAAAAACTTATATCATGAATTAAAATCAAAAACCATACTGATTAGTTGTTCTGCGTTGAATTTTTTAAAAACGGCAATTTTCATAGCCACAAGTTTTTAAAAACATCTATTAGATTTGAACGTGGAGGAACTTTGAAAGAAACCACAGGTAATAGTAGAATTGTTTATTATATTCAATGAAATTGTTTATCATAAAATCATATTTATGATACAGTTTGTAAAATTCTATAAAATATAGGCGCTTTCTGTTTTTTAAATAAAATTATCCGGACTTGCGTAGTTTTCCGGAATTATCTAAAATTAGTTCAGATGAACAAAAAAAAGTACAAAGAGTTTTTTTTTTTTAAAACCAAATATTTTTCTTTTAAATATAAAAGTAGAAAAAAATACTCAATGCCTCGTGAAAAAATCAGTTCAGTATGTTAAACCCTTCTTTATTATTAAGCCTATTTCCTCATTTAGTATAAGAGCGATGCATAGTGGCGATTGCAGATTTTTTTTGTATCGGATAAAAGTTTAGAAATTAGTGTTAACGTGTGTCATAAACTTCTCTTTATGTTATTTTAATTTTGTGTAAAATGTTTAGTATTGCTTTTGTTAAAACAAAAACTGAAAAAGATGGAGGGAGGGAAAGATGGAGGGGGGGAAGGATTTTAAAACTTTTTTTTTTCAACTGATTTAAAGATACTACAGATCAAACTACTTTGACAGCCATTTGTTCATGTTTTCAAATAATGAAAAGTTTTCTATTATTTTTATTTTGAAGTGACTTTTACTAAAACCACTCAGTAGGTGCCGTACATTTAAACAAAATGTTGATGAATTATTTTTTTCCGTTGTGGTTTATTACGTTAACTCCGAAACCTAAAATAGACGTCTTGCTTACGTCCTATGCCCACTGGGTAGTTGTCTTATTGACGCTTACCTCATGATATTACAATATAGTAACCGTTAAGTAAAATATAGTTCTTTTTAAATACTCCACTTCGTAGAGAAATTTCAAACATCATGCAAGTCTGGACTTGCAAGATGTTTGACTTGCATGATGTAATGGACTTGCAAGATGTTTGAAAGTTCATGTTTGGTGTTAAAAAGTTTTGATAGATGCTGCAAATTGATATCAAATTGCAACATTTATTAAAACTTTTTAACACCAAACATGAATTTTTTAACACTAAAAATGAACTTTTATCATGATAAAAGCAATCAATCACATTTATTTAGCAGTTATATCTAGTGATGGTCTTACAATATCTTTATCGCCATTTTTGGATTATGGTTTTAAGGTATTTGTGATTGATTTATTGTTATTTTTAGTACAAATAGATAATGAAATCCAATTAAAATTCACGTCACGCTTTAAAACTTTATGTATGCAGTGCGCAAAGCAGCTAGGTTAAACTTGCTGGATTCCGTAAGTTTAACCACAACAATCTTTCACTAGAAAATTTGTAGTTAACATTTTCTTCGGTATCAAATAAATTTCTTCAAAGGTAGAAACTGTTAATTACTCAAAAAGTTTTTTAAAAAGTGAAAAAATTTATTCTTATTTAATTTCTATTCAATTTACTTATATATTTCCTCTGTTCCGAAACACTGTTCCAACGTAAAGAATCATTGAAAAAGAAATAATGTTCTTAATTTTTTTTCATTTTATATATAAAATTTATTCATTTTTTGAATATTTTGAACATTTAATACTCAAATATTAATAAATGTTCAAAATGTTCAAAAAACTATTAAAAAAAAAAAAAAAAAAAGTTTTATATATATATATAAAAAAAAAAAATCAATTAACAACATAGTTTACTTTCAATAATTTTTTACGCTGAATGAAAATTGGAACAGGATTTCGGAACAGAGGGAGTAAAAGAATTGTTTTGACGCGGTATATATAATGTTGACGTGATATATCTATGGGTATGCTTCTATATATGTGTACAATTTGCTGATCAGCTTATGTTGATAAATTTTATTAAGTTTTAATTTTTAGAAAAAATAGTTGTTGTTTTTTTATTAAAAAAAACTATTTTTTATGAAGAAAAATTGGTAAATATTTATACTTTTAAAAATATACTTAAATATTGATGTTTTATAGTTTTGAACTTATATATGTTTTTTAAAATTGATAAAAATTTTCCTATAATTAAGTTTTTTGCTTTATTTTAGAATTGCCGAATTTCTAATTTCTAATGCTTTATTTCTTTAGGATTTTTATTTCTGAGACTAAAGCTGTTTCCGACGCAAAAATATCTATAAATGAAGAAATTTGTTATTGTAAACCATTACGTTTAAAATAATTTTATATTTAAAAATCATTTTACGCAAAGTTCGCGAAACCACGACACCAGCTAGAGCCGCAGGACCTTTTTACTCTCAAATAGAGATGTACCGGGATTCCGCTTAATTTTGAGTTTATTCCGGTTCCGGTCAATGGTACTTCTTAGGACAACCTCGGTTAGAGAGGAATTAGAACTATCTTGCACTCTATCAGGATTATTTACCTAGTATATAAATGCACGTACATAGTAAATGTTTTACCATACAGTATGTATACAGGCGCTAAGCCTTAGAAATTTTTAATCTTCAAGGCAAAAAATAATTTTTGTATAGTTTAGGTTCCACCCGGTACCAGAATTATGTTTTTTAAATCGTTTAACAATTACGACAAATTTTTAAAAATAATTTGAAAAACTAATCAGCTACAACCAGCGGCAGCGCCAGCTTTTTTTGGTCTCAAAGACCAAAAAATGCTGGCGCCGCCCCTGGAAATAGCTTTGGTCTTTGAGACAAAAAAAACCCAAAATTTTTTCCCCCTCCTCCCCCTACACGTGAGAGCAACAAGTAGATGAAATATTTTTTGTACTATTTTCAACTAGACTCTGGAAGTTATCTCAAAGACCAAAAAGTGCTGGCAACGTCCCTAATCTAAATTATTTTCTAAATAATAAAAACAATTTTCTTTAAAATTTCTCTTACGTATATATTAATGTATATATCGCAAATGTAAGCAAATTGCAAATGCAAACAAATCATTAATTTTGATTGCCTGATCTATTGATCACTTTGATAATATATTAAAAAGATTATTTATTAAGTTTATATAAGTTTATTTACCTATTTTTTAAAAATTCTGAAGAGCTGATTTGTCTAACTACCATCCCATTAGTATTCTTGCTATCATAGGCAAGGTTTTTGAGTCTTAAATTAACAAACACTTATTCTCTTATCTTGAATCTAATAACCTATTTTTTAATAATCAATATTGATTTCGATCTTCTCGTTCTACTGCTGATTTATTAACGGTAATAACTGATCGTGCATAAGATTGGAGAGATTAATAACTGATCGTGCATAAGATTGGAGAGATTAATAACTGATCGTGCATAAGATTGGAGAGATTAATAACTGATCGTGCATAAGATTGGAGAGATTAATAACTGATCGTGCATAAGATTGGAGAGATTAATAACTGATCGTGCATAAGATTGGAGAGATTAATAACTGATCGTGCATAAGATTGGAGAGATTAATAACTGATCGTGCATAAGATTGGAGAGATTAATAACTGATCGTGCATAAGATTGGAGAGATTAAGAATATTACTCTTGAGATTTCTAAAGCTTTCAATAAAGTTTGGCATGCTGGTCTTTTTTATAAGCTCTCTTCTTACGTTGTATCTAGTAACATCTTTAATATTATTAAATCCTTCTTGACCAATCGTGGTACAAAGGTTCTCTTTAATGGACAACACTCTTCTCCATATCCTGTAACTTCTGCGGTTCTTCAAGGTGCTATCCATGACCTATAATTTTTTAAATTAACATTAACAATCTCCCAAAAATTCTCACATCTGGCGTTATTCGCTGATGATACTACATTTTATTCTTGTCTTGATAATAGTTCAACACTCGCTGATTGCTTGGAGAAGACATTTGAGCTTGAAAAAGATCTCAATTCTGTTTCAGCATAGGGTTCTTAGTGGCTGGTGGTG